ATATATATATATATTATTAACTAAGTGATAGAAAAGAATGAAGAAGAATGTCCCACCGTCAGGGACGATTAAATAATAAATATTTGGACGGTTGCAGGACAGAAGGGTGACCTGGCCTTACAAAATATACAACTGATTAAACCATGACATTAATTTCAAGTGAGAGTACAGAATTTAAGAGTTTGCAAGCGCACACAGCGTCCTGTTTATATGCTGCTCTGCATACTCTGATTAACCTCGCTGTTAATGANNTTTAAAACTGCAGTCATGTTGCTCCCGCGGTAAAAGTTTTGCCTCTTTGTGTCAAAAGAAAAGGGATTTTTTTTCAAAGTTTGACAGTGCCTCCCTCTTTTATTTGTTCCTGAAAAGGTTGATTTAGCAATATTTGCACATATCCAAAAACCTGTTGATGTCCAAGTCTTTTTTAATGTTTAAAAGCAGTTACATTTCTCCTTTTGACCACAAATGTGAGCTAATCTTTCTTGCGTGGGTCTCCACTCCGGCCCGGCAAACTGTTGGCTGGCTGGTTTGTTTGCAACGCACAGAGCTGAACGTAAAACAGGCAAACTGCTGTAAAAGGGCCAAATGAGATGCACATTCGTCCAAAGAAGGCTCCTAAAACCTGGAAAATATCAGCATATCTCACATCTCTTCATCAGAAAATGTTTGATTCGGAATAAAGTCTAATTAGGAATATCCAAACAGAATATGCCGTTTATGTGACCCTTATCAAATGTCACTGACTTCTGAAATGTTATTGTAGCAGCTCGTTTTTGTTTGGACAGCCAGCATGTACTCAGACTTGGATGATGATGAAAAAGCTAATTTATAGCCCGAAAAATCTCTCATATGTTTCCCTATCCAGGTGGTGCGTTTGTGCCAGAACCCCAAGGTGGCGTTGAAGAACAGCCCTCCCTACATCCTGGACCTGCTGCCGGACACCTACCAGCACCTGCGCACCATTCTGTCCCGATACGAGGGCAAGATAGAGATCCTTGGGGAGAACGAGTATTTTCGCGTGGTCATGGAGAACCTGACCAACAAGACTAAGCAGACCATGAGCCTCTTTAAGGAGGCCAAAGAGAGGATGTACGAGGAGAACTCCCAGCCCAGGTAGGCTTACACCCTAATGTCTCATAATTCTTCATGGTGGAAGGAGACTAGAGGAGCATCAGAAAGGAGTTGAGAAGCAGGGAAGGTGTTTGGGTAGCTGAAGATCAGGCTTATCATTGTTTGAGTTGGCTCCACAGCCACGAAAGGAGCCCTGAAGATCACCATTGTGTTAAGCGACCTAATTGGCACGACTGCTGCGGACTGAAGCTGCCTCTGTGTTATAAGCAGCACGGTCTCAAAGTTAATTCACTACGGATTACGTGGCTTTACGGTACAGGATCGCGCTTAGTATTGGTTGGTTTATAAAAGGTGCTGTCATCTAGAAGTGGAAAGCTTTGTACACATCAGGTGAATTTTAGGCTTTAAAAACAGGCTTTCTATCAACTGACTGGATTAATGAGGTTAGTGTTACTTTAATAAAGTCGCATTCAGTCTCACGTTTAAATGTGTTTTTGGGAAAAATGTGTATAGGTTATAAAACTTAGTTATTTCTTTATTTATTTTCCAGAGACAACGCACATTAATCATCATTCATTGCTGTTTACACTTCAATGTAAATGTGCCTGAGTTAGCTCATATATACAGAGTCTCTAGGCAGGTTATAACAAACAACAACAAGTACAACAAGAACGATACAATACACAGTAATACATAAGTACATTACAAAAGTGACGATGTGTAAAAACAGTGAGATTATATAAAGGCAGTGCCAGAGGTGAGGTGGTAAGATTAGCCATGTCTTTAAGTTTATGTTTAAAAGTTAGGTAATTAGTGCACTCTCTCTTAGTTCAGTAGTGGGTGGCTCTAACTGAGAACACTTGCTACGTCTGTATTGTACCACACAGTCCCCTCTGGGAGCTGCCCTTGTTGCCCTACTGCTGCTATCCTTCTGCTTTATGAACCTCAGTGGGGGAGGGACAAGGCCACGTAACACTTTTTGTTGCCACGTATGGGCGTTAAATAGCATTCTTAAAACATCTTAAACTGGATCTTAAACTGTTGAAACCTGCAGAAACCCTCACACACACACAGTCTGTTGTATTTATAGGAAGAAGCACAAACTAAATTAAATTCAAAGTGAGTCCTCTGTCCATTTGTTGGTTCGTCTTATTTCTATAAAACTGTCAAAAACAGAACTTAAAAACATGTAAAAGTAGCTCGGGTACATTGCAGTAGCCCCATTTTTGAACAGCTATTATTCTACTCTGTCAACATTAAGCTGGCAGTGACCTATTGACATAATTACAGTGCGTGTACGGGCTTTAAACTGGTCGGCTAACCTCTGTAGCTAAAGAAAGACACTGCTGCTGCTCTGTCTTAGCAACCTGGTAGGACGTGCAGTGTTGTTTTAAAGACTTTCCGTCACTGTGATGAAATGCAACCTGTGACATTTGGTGAAAGTAGGACAGCTCTCTGAACTCAAGTCAAATCACTCGAATGATAGAGGCGTGATTAAACTGTCACAATCACATTAACTTCCTCTTTCTCAGAAAACCCCTTACTAAGCAAAAGCTCCTTCCTCTGATTCTATCAAGCATTTCCTCACAGCTCCTCTGCATCAACAACTGTTGTGAAAGAAGTTCAATGTATCCGTCACCAGGGCTTTACTAAGCTACAGTGGTGCTATCTGAACCATCAAAGTTGCATTTATAGTCAGGCCTCAGGGTGTTTTTGTAAAGCTCATTGTGCCATGTTTTCTCTGAATGCTTATGAGTTCAATGATGATTAATAGTATTGTATTTTATAGTCAAGATTTAGGACTTCCAGTACACAGTATGGTCTTGGATGAACTCGAGCTCAGTGTACAGTTGTAATGAGTCCTGCTACTCCATCTTTGTGAATGTATTTTCAGACTAGAAAACAGTGGGGAACCTTAGCTGGAAAACAGGGGTTCAATCAGCATGTAAGGGAATGTAGAAGTCTTAAATCAGCCAGCTACAAACGTGAGGCCAGTCAGTGTGTTTTCTTCATTGATTGTTGTGTCCAACCAACAGCCCAAAACCCAAATAAACCCAGTTTACACTAATATAGTCTAATATCCCTCACTAACTGACTTGTGTTTCTATCGTTTCTCTCTCCTCTTTCCTCTTACTCAGGCGAAACCTCACCAAGCTGTCGCTGATCTTCAGTCACATGCTAGCAGAGCTAAAAGCCATCTTCCCAAATGGCTTATTTCAGGGCGACAACTTCAGGATCACCAAAGCTGACGCTGCCGAATTTTGGAGGAGGTCATTTGGGGACAAGTGAGTTTTTTCTTAATCAAATATTGAAAAAAGAAATCTATGTAAATTCAGGCATTGGCTCTCTAAACTTGCACATTTTGAAGTGTAGTTAGAACTTGTTTTGCAAGTTTTTACATTCATCTGCACATTTGTTTGAATTTGCCCTCTTTTTTTCTCAGTTTTAGCCTTTCTTTCACACTCATTCTGTCTGGTAGTTGCAGCCTGAGCTTTAGATTTTAAGCACAATGTGTGGTATTCAAACTGTGATAAATGTTTCCTCTAAAACCTTTAACTTTGTGGCCCACTCCCTCCCATGTACTGTAGGACCATAGTGCCATGGAGGACGTTTCGTCAGGCTCTCCACGAGTTTCACCCCATCAGCTCGGGCTTGGAGGCCATGGCCCTCAAGTCCACCATCGACCTCACCTGCAACGACTACATCTCTGTGTTTGAGTTTGACATCTTCACCCGGCTCTTCCAGGTAACAGCAGAGCATTCTGGGGATGTCGCGGTATCCACAGATCCACGTAGTGTTTTAGTGACGGGCAGTAACATTTAGGAGCCTTCAGTCAGTGAGTACACAGGATCAAACATTATGCTGTATGGAGGGGAAAAACATTTTCAATTTTAGCTGAGTGCACAGCTGGCATGTTTCAGCCTTGGTCACCACTTTTTCAGTGAGTCTGCAGTGTCTATGCAGAAGTAGACAAGACGGACTCTAAATGGAAACTGGAACTGAGGAAATTCTGGACTTCAGGTTTTAAGGCTGCTGTACTGTAGCCTATCGAAAAGATCGAAAGCAACATGACTTTAGCACCACTGCTTCACTTCACTCTTGCTTTACCTTGTCCATGCTTGCAAAATATCCACCATGTAGTGTACACGTCAGAGAATGTCTCTCCCTCCATGTTTCTCTACAGAACATGTGAGATTGTCCACTGGGCCGTACAGGAGGGGTAGAGCAAAGCAAGGTTGTCCACTAGTTAATCGATTGCAGATATTTTGTGGACTGACTGTGGGTGAGAGAGGCTCTGTTGAAGCAATGGAAAAACAAAAAAAAGAAAAGGTTTAAAAATATTTTAGGTTTAGTATGAAACTGTGGCGTAATGGGAAATGTGGTGAATCGCATCCTGTCTGCATATCCTAAAATCAGATGTAGGAAATAAGGCTCAAAGCCAAAAATAGTTTATATCTGTAGCATGAACACTAATTTGTGTGTGTGTGTGTTTTGTGTAGCCATGGTCGTCTCTTTTAAGGAACTGGAACAGTCTGGCGGTCACACACCCCGGTTACATGGCCTTCCTAACCTACGATGAGGTCAAGGCTCGGCTGCACAGGTTCATCCACAAACCCGGCAGGTGAGACACGGACGAGCTCTTCCCATGCTGCATTGAACATACTGTTGCAGTCAAACACTTCCAAGCGAGTCCGGTTGGTTGACATTGTTGTCTTCCTCACAGCTACATCTTCAGGCTGAGCTGCACTCGGCTGGGCCAGTGGGCGATCGGCTATGTGACAGCCGATGGGAACATCCTGCAGACCATCCCCCATAACAAACCACTCTTCCAAGCCCTCATTGATGGATACAGAGAGGGATTGTGAGTCCAACACAGTGTCAATGCTCCAATTTATACATCTTAAGGGACATTATGTCGCTTAAGATGTAAGTAACATATCGCTGTAAGTAACAGATCACTGCCTGTGTGGCTCTACAGCTTCACCCCACTGTAATCTCCACTATACCAGATCAGAACTCACTCTTAAAATGATAAATTCACTCGATGAACTAGATGTTGCACCAGACCAAAACAATGGGTGCTACCAGTGACTTTACCTAGCAGATAATCATAAAACACACTTCAAACTGGACTGAAACAAGATAAAACTCACCAAACCGTCTTTCTAACCATCACTAATGCTGCTTTGGTTGAAATAACTGAGTTAGTTGAGAAATTTAGCCACAAAAGGGCCTGCTATGGCTGCCATGTGACAGGACTTGTCCTTGGGGACAAAGTATGTCTACTAGAAGTTGTTGTTTCTTCCACTGACAGTCGCATATAGTTATTCTTAGTGTTTGACAGCATTATGGAAAGGATCCCAACTGAGACAGACCTTTAGTTTAACCAAAAACTGCCAAAATATTGCTATCCACCAGACTCCATAGACAAAAACAGCAATTTTACCTTGTATATCATCATAACTTCATTCAAAGTGGACAGAAACAAAATAAAACTCACCAAAACTGTCCATGTTAGTCTTTCCAACAATCAACATTGGTTTGAGAGAATTAAATCCTTAATTAACCGACGTAGCTGGAAAAAAACACAGGCTCATATGTGACCTTTAAGCTAAAGGCTTTGGTGCATTCTGTAGAGTCGCATACATCACTGGTATGTATTTTAACAAGTTAGCACATTCAATGAGTAAAATAACATTTCCTGTATGTGTTGCAGCATGCAAGGAATATCTTTTAAAGTATCAGACATTCCTCCACTGTGGCCCTGAAAGAGCCAAAAGACTGTCTTAATCTTCTGAGCAGCAGGTTATATTTGATCACTTCACTATTTTGTCATCATTCCAGCAATAAATATATTGCAGTATTGCGACATAAAAATAAGGAACATGAGAGGAACTACAGCTTAAATAAACATTGTTATTCAACTGAGGCTGTAAAGCTGCTGGAGTCAATGTTCAGATAAAAATATTACAAACTGCAATTTCCTTCAAGTCTACAGAGCGTTTAAGTATCTTTTAACTCATTGTTTTGGTTTTATTGTAGTTAATTCACTTTCTATAATACTGACTGACCTGTATGTGTGTTTCTGTGTGTGTGTGTGTTTACGTATGCGGCCGTCCTCTAGCTATCTGTTCCCAGATGGTCGCGCACAGAATCCAGACTTAACAGGGCTGTGTGAACCTTCTCCACAGGACCACATCAAAGTTACTCAGGTTTGTTTCCCATCTGCAAACCAGTCGACCCTCTTCTACTAACAATATAGACGACTGTAGTGCCTTTATTACAAGATAATGAATGAATCTGTGTCTCCTCTCCCTCCTTTACCCCTGCAGGAGCAGTACGAGCTGTACTGTGAGATGGGCTCCACTTTCCAGCTTTGCAAGATCTGTGCGGAGAACGACAAGGATGTGAAGATCGAGCCTTGCAGGCACCTGATGTGCACTTCCTGTCTCACTGCCTGGCAGGTGAGGCACACTATAAAGTTTTATTACGTTGTTTTTGAGCAGGACCGTAAATCCTGACAGGTCAGAAGCGAAGTGCATCTTTATTTTGCTTACTGCTGTGGATTTAAAGCAAGCTTGTGGATTCAGTGTTACTGTAAAATTTCACACTAAAATACTCCCTCTTGATGACCATTCATTCTCAATAAAGTGACGTGTTATATTTCTTCATATTTTAGTTTCACTTTTTTGATCTGGTCTTATTGAAATTTGCTGTTGACGCTGTTTGTTGATGAATTAAAACTTAACTGATTTTCAGCCAGCTTTGTATCATAGTGGACAATGGGGGTAGTGTATGCACATGAACAATGTTTACCTTCCCTTAATGCTGCCTGCACCCGGTGCTCCGGGCTCATTTACTGGCAAAAAGTCCGACAGACGTCACGAAACATGTCACATCTACCGGACTGTGGCCTCTCTCGATCTCTAAAAAAAAAATAAAAAAAATAAAATACAGAAGTGGTTAGAACAACAGATTTCTTTGACCCAATAATTCATGTCAGTACATCAGTGTGACTCTTGATCCGTGGTTCCTTAAAAGTTTGTGAATTTGAGGGGAAACATCAAGGCCTAGTTTTTGTCTGTGCTGTGTTAGAGAAGGCAAGAGACAACATAGTGTGCCATCACTGTAACACAGCACGATTGAGAAGTGGCGTGAACACAATTCAAGCCTCTCTTTTTTTTAAATTGTTGTCTGTGAGCTTCTGTAAAGCCTGGGTCATGCTCACAAAGTGCCCGACCCTCACAGGTTTACAAGACACCAAAAATACAGTAGCATTACAGATTATAGATTATTATACAGCTCGCTTTTAAATTATTCTAGCGGCTCTCCCAAGTTTGGCACAAAAGGTTTTCTACAAGAAAAGATCGCAATCATAAATGGAGGACATGTTGCCAAAAAGGACATCCCAATGTCCTCGTAGACAGGACAGCAAAACAAAAAGTGAACCTCACTCTCAGTTTCACCTCGATCACACAACAAACAAAGCCTGTCCTCCTCTGTAGGGCTAATGCTTCCTGAACGGGATCTCTGTCTTTTATTTAAGTTATACTTCACATAAGGTTGTGTAACTAATCTGTATGAGACAACAAGTTGCTAATTTTGCTTTACACCATATATCAACATTATCATATTCCCAGTAATTAACCTTGAGCTGCGTTGGGTCCTTGAGTTTGAGGGAATTGGGCCTGTAAAAGTCCTTGAAATGAATTTGATGCTTAAGAAGCTGTAGTAATCCTCTGAGCTCTGAATTTCACAGACACAAAGTTTTCTCATTTACTGATTCATTAAAAAAATGTACGTCACCATTTTTAAGCTCAGCTTCAACGTAAATCTGCTGTTAATGTAACTCAGTGGTCAGTATTCCCATCAGTTCTCAACTACATTACCATTTTTTAGACTTGGATTATGGATTTTGCCTTTGAATAAAATCAATTTAGGTATGAAAAATGTGGAAGAAGTTCAGGAATGTAAAGATTCTTCACTTGCTTTCATCATGACTTTCATTGCCTCAGCCCGTCTAGCTGATGCTCACTGCTGGCTTGCAAGTTCCCCGTGTCTCCCTTTGAGACCTCCCTCTGTTAGAGAGACAAGAGTAAAGTGTCTCATATCTGACGAAGGCCTTCAAACTTCAAACTTTGCTTCCTGTGTGCGTCAGGAGTCGGAGGGTCAGGGCTGCCCGTTCTGTCGCTGTGAGATTAAAGGCACAGAGCCCATCGTAGTGGACCCCTTCCACCCGAAGGCCGGCGGGGCTTCCTTTGCTGGTTTCCAGGGGTCCAGCAGAGCGGAAGCTGCCTGCAATGACGAGGAAGAGGATGATCGCCTGGAGGACCAGCACCTTGTCATGAGCAGGCTGGCCTGCTCCAAGGTAAGACAATTAAATAATAATAAAAAGACTGTTGTAGAACTTTATCTATTGTGTTAGTTTAATGGCACTAAACTGTGTGTGTGTGTGTGTGTGTGTGTGTGTGTGTGTGTGTGTGTGTTGTGGTGTGTGTGTGTGTGTGTGTGTGTGTTTTTGCAGTTGACCGGCCCAGCCATCTCCAGTGTCTCAGCTGCCTCCGGTGCCCCCCGACTGGACTCCTGCAGCAGAGACCTCAGAGTCCCACAGTGCACAGGGACACGGGACCACAGCCAAGGTGTGTGTGTGTGGTGTGTGTGTTGTTTGTGTGGTGTGTGTGTGTGTGTGTTGTGTGGTGTGTGGGTGGTGTGTGTTGTGTTGTGTGTGTGTGTGTGGTGTGTGTGTGTGGTTCAGGTCGAATGCATGTAAAAACGAGATTCCAGTGGAAGAAAATCCCGTCCTCATTCTGTGCGACAGCGATTTAAAGTTCAAATGAAGCAAATATAAGTTATGAGCTTCAGCTGTCTGAATTTTACAAATAACAGTCTTCTTATTGTAGTTTTCATGCCTCTGGCGACCGATGTGGCTGAAGGCATTATGTTTTCATGTTGTCCGTCCATCCGTGCCATTCTCTGAACACGATATCTCAAGAATGCCTCGAGGGAATTTCTTTAGTAAGTAAGTTTTTGGACTCAAGGATGAACTAATTAAATTATTTGGTAGTTTGGTACACATTTTTGGCTTTTAACTCAAAAATTCATTCATCCTAATGATGACAATTTCACATAAATGTCTAAATAGGATAAAATGATTTTACATCCAAAAGGGTAACTTCACTTTGACATCATAATGTTCGACAATAACACTTTTTTTGGACAAGTGACACAATCCTAGGTTGATGGTGTAGATTGTCGCTAGCAATTTGAAGCTTCTGTGCAGCAGACGTGCATATCAGGAATCAGCTTAACACTTACAAGGAATTTGACTCAGTGAACTTACACACAAATAGACACTGGGGCTGCACAATTAATCAAATATTAATCACAATAAAGATTTTGGCTTCCCACGATTTAATAAACGTAATCGTCTACAATTTTGATGTTTTAAAATAGGTGCTTGGCTCATAGTAAATATCAAATCAACCATCCAGCCACTGCGTGTGATCGAAATGTTACGGTTTCCCTTTTGTGCTGCACACACACCCTGAGTACTTTAATTCCTGGAAGTCCCTGCTAACAGAAACCAAACATTTCCTACTGCCGCAGCTTCACATTAAAATCATTTAACTGGTAAAAACCACGAGTTGACCTTTATCTTCAAGTAAGCTAGTCACAGGAAGTGCAGAGTATTTGTCAGTTAACTTGAAACTGGCCACTTTCGTAATCATGATCATCATTTTGGACATACTGCGGCCCTGACAGACACACAGCAGTAGTTTTCCTGACATTGAGCTTCAAGTGCTCTCAGTCAGTCCTCTAAAAATAGCCTCTAAAAGACGGCATGTTTCTCTGGGAATGGAGTAAAAAAAGATGGATGAAAAAGAACTTTAATACCTTTTTATTAAATTCCTTCAAAGTATTCCCTACATATATGAGTCTGGACGGGCGTGGATGTTAACTGGAACTCGATTGGTTGGCCGAGGAGTATAACCGTGAGACGGTAATTCTAGTTTTAGTGGAAAATTCCCTCTTTGTGTTCCCCTCTGCTGCAGCTCATCAAGAAACACTGCCCAGGGAAAAAAAGGGGGATTTGGTTTTTAAAAAGATTCACCATTTCCTACTAGCCTTAAAGCTATCACACACACCGTCAGACAACTCATGCAAGCACGCATTACTGTGGAAGTCAGGTTCCTGCAAACTGTATGAATGCCTGAATGTTCACAGTGATAATTTGTGTGCATGCAGCAGAGTGTTCAAAGGTCAAACTCACCCACCAAACCGCTAATCGTCTTCAGATCTCTGCTGGTTAATAACACCACCATCCCCTCCCACCTCCTCCCCCAGACTCACAGAGACAAGCCTCTACCTCTGCCTCCGGCCTTGCGAGAGCTGCCCCCTCCTCCCCCTCCGGAGCGCCCCTCCCTGGTTGTCCAGGACTCCAGACTCCAGAGGAGACCCCTGCCCTCCACCCCCGACCAGCCCGCCTGGGCTTCCAACTACATGGTTCCGCGTCCGGTCTCCAAAGCCTTGACATCCGTGTCCTCCGGCCCTCAGAGCAACGGAACCAGCGGAGAGGGAAGCAAACCCACGGCAGCTACTAACGCCGTTTACTGCCTGGCTGCGAGGTACGGAGACACCATGAGAATTCAAGTTATCATAACTAGGGTTGGTCCAATGTCCAAACTTCTCTTACTGCCACTTACATACTGTAAATAGTATTTCATTCACAACTGTTCACAGGTATACTAACCTAATAATAAGCTTTAAGTGTCCCCCCTAAATTATCACCCTGATAATACCCCGTTATCTCCAGCAACAACTTATCCAACTAGATAATTCATTACCCGAAGTAGTCGATGCTTGACTTAATGTTTCGTCTTACATGGAGGGTTTAACTTCTGCGCTGGCTGCAGGGACTTTGCTTTCAGGCTATTAAACATGGTAGTGTTACAGTCTTCAGCTTTTAGATATATTTTGTATTTGACCAGGTGTTTATTCAGGTTAGACGTGTTGTTCTGAACTATACTGAAATGTGGCACTGACTTTGGTTTATAGATGTCAGGAAATAAATTTAGAGAGGGAGGTTGAGCTGGATGGCTCAAGATTGAATTTGGAGATTGGGGCAAGCACATTCTTGTTTTCCTTAAACAATCCCTCAATACTTTAATATATATAATATATAATAATATTCAATATCTGTCCATCTTGTGGTATATCTTGTATTACACCGTACGTCAGAACTGTGCAGCGTAATAATAATAACATTAGAGCTTTGGCAGTGCTACCTTTGTCTTCAAGACCTTGAAGAGTCGTGTACTTTATTCTTGGCAGATGAACCTTGAGATTTTTTTGTCCCACTTCACAAAGACTTTAGACTTTGATACCATTACAACAGAGAGGTAAAATGGCTTTTGAACATAACTCCTTCTCTACGATTCACACTGCGGTTCGACTAGCCCTGGGTTAAATGTTTGTTTACTTTAGCCCTCTATCACACTGGCACCTTTTAGCCCTGTGTTTAGTCTATTTTCAGAGGATAAAACCCACAAAGTCCCAAGCATGGTCAGCAAACCCTGGGCTAAAGTCAGGGTTACATTGTGCCAATGTGAAAGCTTTCT